GGTGTGCACCTAAGGTCTAGGAGGTCTACACTAAGGATTAGGTGGATAGACTCTCACCTAGGGTGTGCACCTAAACGTCTAGGAGCCTATGTTTTAACTTGTGTTTAAAGTGATTTAAGGCATTCTATATCTTCCAATTAATTAAATCATCAATCCCCATCTTTATGACTTAACTATTTAACAAAAATAACAAAACAAACGAAGATAGAAGGTTGATCCACTTTCAAAATTAACAAATCAAAAGAGGAAATAGCAAGTGAATCAACCTAAAAAAAAAATTTAAAATCATTTAACAACTGTAATTAAATCGGCTCTCAAGAGGAGTGTTTAAATCTACTCCAAGACAATGTTTTGAGCGGCCCAAAATAACAACTTTTAAAATTTCCAAATCAATATGTAAATCAGTGTTTAAATGATGCCCAAAACCTTCCAATTCAACATAAAAAGAAATGAGATCCAAAAGCTACAAGAAACTCAGAAAAGTGCAGCCCAAAAGCCACAAAATTGAACCAAAAGTGCAACCCACAAGCCACCAAACGGACTCAGGAAAGTGCAGCAAAACAAGCCCCTTAACAGTCCCAAAAATCATACATTTAAAGGCTTCAAAATTAGTGTTTAAGGGCTCCAAGATTAGCCCACAAAAACACCCCAAAACAATGCCAAAACCGTGTCAAAACGGTGCCCAAGCAGCTCCAATGCCAACCCACAAAACACCCCAAACAACCCTTAAACTCGCTTCAAAACAGTGTGCAAACCTCTCAAAATCAACCAACAAACGCACCCCAAAACGATGCCCAAACAGTGTGTAATTAGTCCAAGAAAAGGAGTTTACAGTCTCCTAGATTGCAGCGAACTCAGCCCAAAACAGTGTCGAAATTATTCCAAAATGATGCCCAAATTATTTCCAAATTAGCATATAAATCCTAAGCATGAACATGTGTATTTTAAAAAGTTAAAAAAGGTGATATTCGTTGTGTTAGGAAGAATTTGAGTGGTATGTGTGTAAACATTGAAGTTTGGGTGTTAGAGATAAAAACACACAAAAATTAAGTAGCATGTATGTAAATCTTCCTAACTCGTAGAGGCATGTATTGCAGAAATAAAATGAGCGGTACAGTAACAAAATAAGAATTCGTTACCCAGTTACTGCAATCGCTAAGTTTCTGCGCTCCAAATCTTTTCAGAAGTTCTGGAGCTCTGTGTTCCTCCTACCTCCAATGCGAACAAGGGAGTCGGCCGAGTGATCCTCGAGCGAGGAAGAGGCGAGCAGGAAATTCAGCGTGGAAGATGCAGCATATGCTTTGGTCGGGTGAAGGAGGCGGGATCGAACCCGAGAAAGTCTTACAGGAAACGCTAGCCGAGCGGGAGGAAGAAGAGGCGAATGTTTTCTGTGCGTCAGGGAGGAAGAGACGAACAACTTCGATCGTATGGAGAAGAGACGAAGCAGGCGTGCGGGATCGGCGCAGAGAGGAGATGAGCGCAGGCGAAGAGCTTCGGTCTTCGGTCGAGGGAGAGGCGAGTGCGGGAGAAGTTTTTTTGGCTTCGGTGCGGGAAGAGGAGACGAGGCAAGTGCGGGAGAAGTTTTTTTTGCTTCGGTGCGGGAAGAGGAGACGAGGCAGGTGCA